GATTGAGTTAAGTTTCTATGGCAGCATACCCCCTAGTGCGCCGAAATTCATAACTCGAGTTGTACTCCATCTTTTGATACGATTCAAATTTGGAAAGATAGCCACCGTCAAGGGCTAGAACATACTCGATTTTCAGAGAAATTTAACAAAGCATGTTTTGTCGACGGCGTTTTCTTTTGACGACAACTTTTCTGTCAAAAACTGTAGTTGACGATTTTTAGACATTTCGGCCCCTAATCTTCCTAGACCCCTTCCTTAGTCTCCAACAGCCTTGTGGCCCCTTGCTTGCTCTCGGAGTGTCTGGTGACTTTGAGCTCCACCCTGAGATTTGTCTTGGTCTTGTGGGCTGGTCTTGTGACCCTTGCTTGTTCTTGCTGACTGGTCATGTGACCCTTGTTTGCTCTTAGAATGTGTGTGTCCTTGAGACCCACCCTGAGATTTGTGTTTCTTTCCACAGGACTACGGTACCATCACCTAGACTATGGGGGTGTGTCAACATATATTTCATATGTTGTACTTTGTTTAGTCTAGGTGTTACTGTTTTGCCCTACCTCTAGATCAGGGTTTCATACATATTTCTCGTAACTTTGTCATCCTAGTCAATTCTTACATTGTGACACACATGGTGGGGTCGATGAAATACATTAATAACTTAAAGAGAATGCGACGACCATGCGAAATCACCGTCGCGAAAAACAATCGACTCCAAGCCTATGACATCGGAAAAGTTTACCTGTAGTCAAGCGACACTAATTTCACCATGTGCTCGTCGTCGCCGATCTTGAGTTCAAACTTCTCTCATCAGCCCAATTGATGAAGTGTGGAGTCGACATACGAAGCAAATGCGAAGACAAAACCTTCGAGTTATTCTACAAGAACAGTTACATTGGAAGGGCGATCGACGAAGACGACGTTTTCGTATTGAACTACGACTCAAAGGGTAACACTGGCAACTCAGACAGGACGCGCCTGCTGAAAACAACACCCACGGAGACGACGACATGGTCGCACCATGAGGAGATGGATCTTGAAGGTCTCGCATCAGATGGACTTCTTTGCCTACGTGTCGTCCCAACTGCTTCGACCTCCACCCCCGAAGATACCGGACCTGCAACAATGGAACAAGAAGAAGACAATGGGGGGTTAGCAACCGCAGGACAAACTGACACTGGAGGATGGGAAACCACGGGAGTGAATGCCTCCGGCTGGACCAACACCAGTATCACCATCAGCGCATGGGGAGTGCTAGAAACACCAGCAGCAGGAGTTCCTCCTGGAGGCGGTTTGGGAACGTCAGCATCTCAAGTCAGCTGGGGACCACCACGCACCTTCTATTCCAACCTCCGACACTTCCTCCGGAAATAGACCCGTACTGGGCAACGCGAGGCACAAGCTGGGGCGTACCTCCTCTTCCAGACCAATACGTATACGAACCAGCAGAGGAAGTACAAGAAGAATCAGAAGGCATGACTGACGACTTTGGAGAAACAACAAAACTACCTGAACCTACTGAGGAAGCACCATCACCGGAACAAGGCCCTTGTTGGTGCAACCCTACGGTTTGCATTCGGCTTGTTGTCCGTGTGCGTGCATGCGTGTGTGCATGGAATGGTATGAGGGCATGAGATAACATATATATTTCATGCTTTCAATAGCGTGTGAATGTTGAGTCATGATGTTGAATATGTGTTTGTCGAGTCAATAGCGAATCATCGCTAGTCGCGTGTCTACGTCATCGTTTGTGTGTGTCGCGGGGTTTCTATTATGTCGTTTGTATGTGTGCCACGCGGTTACTTGATGTCGTGTGCGGAACGTTCGGTGTGTCACATGTGTGTGGAGTAGACCCATCAAGAACTCAAGGATGAGTTATGGTGAAGAACCAAAGCCTTAGTGTTAAGATTCAAGTGATCGCGAAGCCCGCGAAAAGGGTACACCTCAAGATATTGATAATAGTTACATTACTTTGTGTAGTGTAACATTTCACTTGGTGTAGGCCCTAGTGAAGGGTAGTTTTGAGACCCTTCACGGTTGGTGACAGTGTGGCACTATTCCACATCACTGTACCTCGGCTCTTGGGGTTTGTAGGAGCTGGGAGTCATTCCCAACTCGCAACTCTTCCTAATTTGTGTTCTAAGACTATAGTGGCTGCCATAGTGCCGTTCGTTCAAACCGACGTTGTGTCGTCAATCCTTGATGGAATCGTGCGATCTAAATTGCCTGTTGTAAACGACATTAAGACGCTTCAGATCCAATTCAATTCAGGTCATTTGAAGCTGTGACCAGAAGGCTATGAACGTTTAAACCGTTGTGCAGAAATTCGACAGTGCACTCTATCTTTCGTTTTAGGCACATTTGAGCCTACTGTTACTATAACAGCCCTCGCCTGATCTAAGTCATCGGCGATGAGCACCTCTATTACCGCGTTCCAATGGTGCCTTCGAGTGGCCAGACACAGCGCCGCCACAACAGCCACGTGGCTAACTTAACTGCGGAGATAACTACAACAACGGGAGTTGGATTACGGGCTAGGCACGGATGCTCGTGTGATCTCTGCGTTCGTTGGTCCTTAGTCGTTTTCCTAGTGCATAAACAGCTTGCTCGTTCACGGGGAGAATTGGCAAGAGTTTTACTAGAGAAATTTGACAACAATGGTTACAATGAAGTTGGCATGGCGAGACTACATCAGAGCTAGCATTAGGTCGGTCGACTGCCAGCGCAACATGGTCGACCGCGTTCCAGCACGACTTGGTCGACCGCGCTCCAGCAATGCAAAGTCGATGGCATGCCAGCGTCGCAGGTCGACCGCGTGCTAGCGTTGCTCTCGTGGAACAACAGCGCACCAGCGTCGCAGGTCCTGCGCAGATGATTGGCGTGCTGAGCCTTGTCACCTGCACAGCGCACACACCAAGTCATCCTGGCGCTGACGACTGCATCTGATCAGCCACGTCGACCTCGGGATACCACCACCGAAGTCGGACTTGCCAACTTCGCCTGGGCGACCATCGCACTCCTCCGTGGAACCTCGTCACCCAGGTAACCTGGTCGACCGGGCAACCACGTCGACCAGCTGCTCCTGTACATGCCTGTCGACCTCCCAAGTGGACGACCACCTCCAAGTCGACCTCACTAGGTCGACCACGCCCCAGGTCGACTAGCTCCAGGTCGAAGTCACTCCTGGTCGACCAGCTCCACGTCGACCAGCACTCCTGGTCGACCAGCTCCATGTCAACCACCGTAGTTGTCAGCCGACCACCCAAGTCGGCTACCCGAAGTCGGCGTCACCAAGTTGACGCCCTGCTACTCGACGCCCAGTTGCTCGGTGTCCTGAGTTGAGGTCGACGTCGGCCCCTCCGCCGTCGACCACCAGGTCAAGTCGACCACCAGGTTGACATCACGCCTGGTTGACCAACCACCAAGTCGACCAACAGGCCTGTCAGCCGACCACCCAAGTCGGCTGCCCCAAGTTGGCATCACCAAGTCGACGCCCTCCGCAGGTCGACTTCCCAGGTCGACCTCCCTGAAGTCAGCGCCTCCCTGAAGTCGGCGCCCGTGCAGTGGCCCCCGTGTAGGTCGACCTCCTCGTCAACCAGCTCGCCCAATGCTGCAAGTCGGCTGCTTCCCTCACACCCGACCACGTAGTCGGCTCCGCCCAAGCGAGGACGGGCCAAACACACAACTCCCGTTGACACTCCCCTACCACGTTCACGCTTGGGCCCCCAGCCCACACGGTAGTACTCCTCGGAGAATAGCTTATCAACGTGCACCCAACACACAGCACGTCGTCCACCGCACCAGCCATGCAAGAGGGCATGGCACCTACTGCTGCACGTCGTCGTCGCTGTCGCCCACGTCGGCCAAGCGCACCTGGCCAATGGCGACAGAGCACCGGTTGAAGGCCCGATAGTGCAGCTCCTTCGTCAGGATGTCGGCCGGCTGCTCGGTGGTCAGGATGTACCTGAGCGAGAACTTCCTGCGCCTCACCATGCGTTGCAGCCAGGCCTGTCGCAGCTCTATGTGCTTGAGGTTGCCCGTCACCCCATGCCCTTGGCGATTGTGATGGCCGACTTGTTGTCCACCCGAAGGTGTTGTTCAGGATCCGTCACTTTGAGAGGTTACGACGAACTCATTTCTCAACTAAACGCAAATCCGCTCGGTAGGATGTTGCGCCTTAGGCTTAGCTACCATCTACAAGTTGAATCAGTTGTTTAAATGGTCTATAGAGTGAGAACCAAGTAAAAACATCTAGCAGCCGCATGACTAGAATGGTGGACAAAGTACAAGCATTAAGGCATGGAAAGTTGGAGTTGGGGACTCCAAGAGAACCATGAGAGGGAAGGGGTTCTCCAAGAGCTAGGGAAGGATGGTAGGAACCTTCCTAGCAGCAAGGATGCAACCCTCATCATGAGGTCCTTGAGGTGTCACATGCAAAATCCAATCTAGTTGGATTTTGCCTAGGTGTTGCAACATTTGCAACCCATGCTAGAAACTTCTAGCCACCCCAATTCAAAAGTCAAGGTTGCCTTCCCTAACCACCCAGCCAAAGATCCCTTTATATTCATGTCCCAAGTAATCACCCAAATTAGATATAACCCCAAAAGGTAATAAGAAATCCAAGTCTTGGAAATCTTGTAACTTGGGCAATCTTGGTCGGAATAAGGCGATCTTGGTATCGTTGGAAAGCTCTGGATTTCTCCTGCATGATCAAGCATTTAAACTTGGAGAATAACACAGAGATGAAAATATCCAACAGCCATGCACAATGACATATGCTCATGCAAACAATGCACGCATGAATAGCACGAGCACTCGGCAGGACGTTAGGATGACATGCACTCAGAATGATGTGCATCCAACAGAAGGACGGTCAGCCTCCCGGCATCAAGCTGCCGGAACTCGGCGAGGAGGAAGCAAAGTCGGCGTCCCTCCTTGCCGGCTTCGGTGGCCGCCACGTACTCCGACTCCGTCGACGACAACGTCGCGCACTTGATGCGCTGGCTCGACTAGGAGACTGCGGCCCCTCCGTAGACGAACACGTAGCCGCCCGTGCTCGTCCTGTTTTGCTTGTCACCGGCGTCGTCGGCGTCGACGTAGCCGACCAGCTCCAGCGACTCAGGTCCACCGCCGAACTTCAGGGCGGTGTCACATGTGTTGGCGAGGTAGGCGAGGCAGCGGTCGACCTCGCGCCAGTGCTGGTCGCTCCTCACTGTGAGGCCGCTCCCCAGCTTGCTGCAGGCAAAGGCGATGTCCGGCCTCGTCGTCGTCGCCGTGAACTGCAGCGAGCCGACCTTCTGCCGGTACTCCTCCTCCTGCCGCTCTTGTGCCTCCTCATCTTCGAAGGTGAGGTCGGAGTAGGCACCGACCGAGACCGGCGTCTTCGGGGTGCGCCCGGTCTGCTTCTCGTCAATGAAGCGCATACGCAGCTTGTCGGCGTAGCCCTGCTGGTGCAGCCACACCTTCCTCGCCGACCTGTTGCGGATGATCTCCAGCCCGAGGTACTTCTGCATCGGCGAGATCTCACGCAGCTCGAAGGCGGACGCCAGCAGCTCCTTCAACTCCTTCAGCATCTCGGTGCTGCTGTTGGCAGCGAGCAGGTCGTCGACGTAGACCAACATCCAGCAGGCCACTCCGTCGTCGCCGACATTGAAGTACAGAGCCTCGTGGACCTGGCTCTTCTTCCACCCGACGCCGACTTGCACGTCATTAAGTGCCAAGTACCACAGCAGCGGCGACTGCTTCAGCCCATACAGGCTCTTCAGCAGCTTGCAGACCCGGCCGGTTCCGTCGTTGAAGTAGTCTGGCTGGGATATGTAGAGCACCCGGTCGAGCTTGCTCTGCAGGAAGGCGTACTTCATGTCGAGCTGCATCAGGTTGAGGTTGAGGACGGCGACGATGCTGAGGAAGATCCTCAGAGTGACGTAGCTGCCCACCGGCGCGAACGTCTCATCGTAGTCGGCGCCATACACCTGGGTGAAGCCCTTCACGACCAGCCTCGCCTTCTCGCGCTCGACGGTGTCGTCGACGTGGTACTTCGTCGTCAACACCCACCGGTTCTTCATGATGTTCACTCCCGGCGGGCGCTCGACCAGCTCCCAAGTGCCCATGTTGATGATGCTGTGGATCTCCACCTCCATGGCGGCCTTCACCGCCGGGCCCTTCAAGCTTGCCAACGCCTCCTTCACCGTCTTTGTCGAGATGTCCCAACGGTGCTCGGGGTCGGCATGCAGGTCGGGGTCGAGCTCCGGAAAGTCCTCATCCTCCTCGGCGTCGTCATACGCCGGGTCGTTGTCGTCCACGTCATACACCGTGGTGAAGGCAGCGGGGACGAAGAAGTCGGGCGGCCTCCGAAATCGGCCTGACTTCCGGGGTTCAGGCCGAACCTCCACCACGTCGCTGTCGGTGGACTTCTCCCCTTCGTCACCGGCTTCGATGCCCTCGCCGTCCTGCTGCACCTCGGTCGACTTCCTGGCCGACCTCTCCCCTGTAGTCAGCTCCTCTGCCGACAGCCTGGTTGCCGACTACTCCGTGGTCGGCGTCACCGCAGCCTGCTCCCCTGTCGGCTACTGCCCTACTGGTTCGTCGTCGGCTTCACCCAAGACGGCTGCTCCTCCTCGACCTGCTCGACCTGCTCCTCCTCGACCTGCACTTCCACGTCGACTTGCCGCTTGACACGTCGGCCACCAGCGATGCCCTTGGCCGGCGCCGAAGGCGACGTCCCACTACTCCCCTCATCGCCGGAGGCCGACACAGGAGGAAGCTCGCGCAGGTCGGCCATGAGGGGAGGGGCAGGGGGCGTACTGGAAGGCGAAGGAGGATGGACGACCTCGGCGTCCTCACCAGTTAGCTCACCGACCTCGGCGAGCAGAGGCAGCGTCGCCGTCGAGGTATCGGTCGGCGGGGTGGTCGGCGTCTGACCTGACGCCGGCCCGTGCTCCGAGTTCCACACCTCCAGCGACATATCCTCGTAGAACACCATGTCCGATGTGGTGACCACCCGGTCGTCGACAATGTCGATGAGCTCCCAGCCCTTGCTCTCCACCGACACACTGAGGTGGAGGCCCCACTTAGCCTTCGGCTTCAGCTTTCTGCCACGCTGCTGCTCGGGGACCAAGAACTGTGCCATACAGCCCTACACCCGTGCCAGCGACAGGTCGGGCTTCTGCCCGGTGAGCAGCTGGTACGGCGTTGTCCCCGGCGGCAGTGTTGACCTCTCAACGCAGTTGCGGACCCAGACGGCCTGTCGCAGAGCGAGGTGCCACCAGTGGTGTTGCACGCCTATGTGCAGCAGCATCGTCCGCACCGTCTCCACCACCGTCCTCATCTCCCACTCCGCCATGCCGTTCTGCTGCGGGGTGTACGGGCAGGCAAGGTTGTGGACGATCCCCTTGTCGTCCACGAAGTCAGTAAACTTCTTCCTGAGGAACTCCCCTCCTCGGTTGGAGCGAAGCATCAGCACCGACTTCTTCGTCTGCCTCTCCACCCACACCAGCCACTTCTTGAACTCCAGCAGCACATCCGACTTCTTGGCGACCTGCCTCACCCACACGTAGCGGGTCTTCCGGTCCTGCAGGAGCAGGAAGTACAAGCTGCCGTCCTTGGCAGCCACCCGGAACAGCCCGCACAGGTCGATGTGCACGACGGCCAGCACGTCGTCGGCGTCGGAGCCTTGGTCGGGGAAGGTGTGCCGCGCAAGCTTCCCGCCGACGCACGAGACACACGGTGAGTCGGCGCCCGTTGCCGACTTGAGGTCCAGCCCAGTGGCGACCTCGTGCTTCGCCGAGCTCCGTATGGTGTCCATGCCGACGTGCGCAAGCCTCGTATGCCTCCTGTCCAGCGTTGACTTCGTCTTCGAGACGATCGCCCGCAGGGCCACAACCTCCGGCGTGGGCGATGACGACCTCGTTGAGCAGGGACGCAGGTCGGTGCAGAGGACACGCCCAGAATACGTCGCCCGACCGAGCACCTCTCCCGCTGCCTAGACGAGTAGCATCTCGTCGCCGTCCTCCTGCAGCTTCACGTCGTTCTCCTTCAGCTGGCCGGTTGAAAGTAGGTTCGCCCGCACACCCGGGACGTAGAGCACGTCGGGGATGAGCACTTGCTTCCCGGCCTCCCCTTGCAGGTCGACAGTGCCGCGGCCCTAGACGTCCTGCAGTGCCCCATTGAATCCGCGCACGTGCTTGATGTTGCCGCTCGGGTGCAGGTTGACGAAGACCTCTTTCGTCCCCATCAGATGGTGGGAGCAGCCGCTGTCGAGCAGGACCACCGCCGGGTTCGCCTGCACTGCTGCCACCATAGCCTAGAAGTCCTCCTCGGCCTCCGGCGCTAGCGAGACGGTCGGCTCCACGATGCGGACCAACGAGCACGACGCCGTCTTGTCGTCCCGCACCTTGCCGCCAGCAGAGGAGTCGGCGTCCTTCGCCGAGGTCGACGTCGTTGACTGCTTTTCCTTGCACGGCTTGTTTCCTCCTCGACGAGGACGATGACTGCCAGACCTCCCACGGCCTCCCTTGGCGTCGTCGTCGTCGGAGTCACTGCGGTCGGGGTACTCGAAGGAGAGGTGGTCGGGGTCGTCGCACAGCCAGCACTCCCGACGTCGACTTCCTACTCCTCGACAGCTGTCCTTGGTCGACTTCTTTTTGTCGACTTCCTTGGTCGACTTCCAGCCACTGCTTTCACCGCCGCCAGACTGTCCGCGCTGCTCCGGTCGACCTCCTTGCTTCGGCCAGGCGACAAAGTTTGCCTGCGCCAAGAGCTCCTGGGACCGCTCAGCCTCCTGCATCGCCTCGTCCTGCAGGATGTACGAGGTCAAGTTGTCCTCGTTGAGCGTCGTCCTCGTGCTCAGCGCCATCGACAGCCGCTTCAGAAGGTTGTAGCTGCTCGAGAGTCCCTGCATGACATGAGTGACGTACGACGCCATCGAGTACTGCGCGCCGGCCATCCTGATGGTGGCGAGAATTCGCCGAGCCCGGTTGCAGTAGTCGGTCGCCGTCTCCTCGTCGCCCATACGCAGGTGCGTCAGCTGCCCCTCCAGATGGGTGATGAACAGGTCGTCGGTGACTTGGTAGGTCGACTCGATGAAGTGCCACGCCTGGTGGACGGCGTCAAGGTACTCTCGGCACTACTTCAAGGCGATCTGCACGCCCGGCGAGCAGCACCGCGAGATGACCGTGAAGGTCAACAGCTGCACGGCACGAAACTCCGCACGCAAGTCGGGGTGGTGCTCATCCGGCGTCGCCACTGTCCCTTGGGCGAAGCCTATCAGCCCGGCCATCTCCACCTGGGGCTCGATGGCTTCCTTTCATGTGAGAATGTTGGGTCGACCAGCGAGCGGCGGGTGCGGAGATAAATATTACAACGGGAGCTAGACTACGGGCTAGGCGCGGATGCTCGTGTGATCTCTACGTTCTCTGTTCCTTGGTCGTTTTCCTAGTGCACACACTGCTTGTTAGGTCACGGGGCAATTTGGCAAGATTTTTTTTTTCCTAGAAAGTTGACAAGAATGGTATATTGAAGTTGGCAAGACAAGACTACATCAGAGCTAGCATTCAGGTCGGTCGACTGCCAGCGCAGCATGGTCGACCGCATTCCAGCACGACTTGGTCGACCGCGCTCCAGCGGTGCAAAGTCGACGGCGTGCCAACGCTGCAGGTTGACGGCGTGCCAGCGTTGCTTCCGCAGAACAGCAGCGCACCTACTTCGCAGGTGCTCGCAGATGATTGGCGGGCTAAGCCTCGTCACCTGCACAACGCACACACCGTGTCATCCTCGTGCTGATGACTCCACCTGATCTGCCACGTCGACCTCGGGATACCACCCTCGAGGTCAGCCTCGCCAACATCGCCTGGGTGACCGTCGCACTCTTCCGCAGAGCCTCGTCACCTAGGTAACCTGGTCGTCCGGGAAACCACGTCGACCAGCTGCTCCTGTATGTGCCCGTCGACCTCCCAAGTCCACGACCACTCCAAGTCGGCCTCACCAGGTCGACCACACCCTTGGTCGACCAGCTCCAAGTCGACGTCACTCCTGGTCGACCAGCTCCATGTCGACCAGCGCAGTTGTCAGCCGACCACCCAAGTCGGCTACCCGAAGTCGGCGTCACCAAGTCGGCGCCGACTTCCAGGCCGACCTCTTGAAGTCGGCGACCTCGCAAGTCGGCGACCTTGCAAATCAGCGACCTTGCTCGGCGACCTTGCAAGTCGGCGACCTCGCAAGTCGGCGACCTCTCAAGTCGCCAACCTCTCAAGTCGGTGACCTTGCAATTCGGCGACCTCCCATACACCCAACCACAAAGTCGGCTCCGCCCAAGCAAGGACGGGGCCAACAACAACTCCCGTTGACAGCGGGGTGACCAAGATCCTGTCCGGCGTAAACTTGAAGTAGCCGTAGCTCGGTGCTATCCCGCCCGCCGTCACCTGGGTCGCCGACATAGGCGACAATCCGCTTCGTCATCCTCCGACGTCGCCCTGCGAGGAGCCTGCAGCCACCAACGACTGAACGCCGCCGACTTCATCGGCGTGAATCACACCACGCTGCCTTGATGTGCCTCCCGCACTACTGCCGACTTGGCCACCTCTGGCGTTGACGCCCACGTCGACGTCGCCTTCATTGGTCACCGGTCGAGGAGAAGCCAGTCGAGAAGGGGGATGCTCCGTCGCCCACATGGTGCGGAGTCCAGCCTCGACAACCGCCCAGGGTATCGCCTCGTACTCCTGGGCCTCATGGCGTCTCCTCGTATCCTCCAGCCGTCCCTCCAATATGTCCATCACCTCTGTGTCACCTACGCGCACGCTAGGGACTGTACTGCCGGCCTACGAGCAACTTAGGTAAGTGACCATTACGTCGACCTGACTGAAAGGTAAGTCGTGTGCCGTCCACGCTCACCGCACCATGCGGAGAAAACTACTACAACGGGAGCTAGACTACGGGTTAGGCACGGATGCTCGTGTGATCTCTGCGTTCATTGGTCCTTAGTCATTTTCCTAGTGCATACACAGCTTGCTCGTTGACGGGGAGAATTGGCAAGAGTTTTACTAGAGAAACTTGACAACAATGGTTACAATGAAGTTGGCATGGCAAGACTACATCAGAGCTAGCATTTAGGTCGGTCGACTGCCAGCGCAACATGGTCGACCGCGTTCCAGCACGACTTGGTCGACCGCGCTCCAGCAATGCAAAGTCGACGGCATGCCAACGTCGCAGGTCGACGGCGTGCTAGCGTTGCTCTCGTGGAACAACACCGCACCAGCGTCGCAGGTCCTGCGCAGATGATTGGCGTGCTGAGCCTTGTCACCTGCACAGCGCACACACCAAGTCATCCTGACACTGACGACTGCATCTGATCAGCCACGTCGACCTCGGGATACCACCATCGAGGTCGCACTCGCCAACTTCGCCTAGGCGACCGTTGCACTCCTCCGCAGAACCTCGTCACCCAGGCAACCTGGTCGACCGGGCAACCACGTCGACCAGCTAATCCGGTATGTGCCTGTCGACCTCCCAAGTCGACGACCACCTCCAAGTCGACCTCACCAGGTCGACCACGCCCCTGGTCGACCAGCTCCAGGTCGACGTCACTCCTGGTCGACCAGCTCCATGTCGACCAGCGTAGTTGTCAACCGACCACCCAAGTCGGCTACCCGAAGTCGGCATCACCAAGTTGACGCCCTGCTACTCGACGCCCAGTTGCTCGGCATCCTGAGTCGAGGTCGACGTCGGCCCTTCTGCGTCGACCACCAGGTCAAGTCGACCACCAGGTCGACATCACGCCTGGTCGACCAACCACCAAGTCGACCAGCAGGCCTGTCAGCCGACCACCCAAGTCGGCTGCCCCAAGTTGGCATCACCAAGTCGACGCCCTCCACAGGTCGACCTCCCAGGTCGACCTCCCTGAAGTCGGCGCCACCCTGAAGTCGGCGCCCGTGCAGTGGCCCCCGTGCAGGTCGACCTCTTCGTCAACCAGCTCGCCCACTGCTGCAAGTCGACTGCTTCCCTCACACCCGACCACGAAGTCGGCTCCGCCCAAGCGAGGACGGGGCCAACACACAACTCCCGTTTACATTAACAGCTACCCTGCAGCTTCACGGGTACCTGGACGTGGACCATACGGGAGATGTTGACAACAGACGCTCCCGCTTTATTTTTCAACTTCAACCTGCCGGAGTCATCTCTTGAAACTCCCTTTAGCAAGAGATCATCGCTATTTTGTCAGCCGAAGCTGAGTTCATCGCCACCAGCGCAGCAGTTCACGAAGGGATGTACCCGACGGAGCTCCTTCAGGAAGTGAAAATGACGATGAACATGCACTTCACGTTACTCTGTGACAATCAAAGCGCGATCAAAATCGCAAACAAACCTGGCTTCGTGAACCCCACGAAGCACATCGCACTCTGTTATTTCTTCGTCAATGACGAGATTGACAAGGGCAAAGTCAAACTCACGTATTGCCCAGCTGGTGACATATCAACTGATTTCCTGACGAAGAAACTGTCACTTCAGAAGTTCCAGCACTGCACCGACCTCTGCGGGATCTTGAAGAAATCCCACGTGGCTCACCTTCAGGAATGAAGGGGAGTGTTGGAATAACCAATAGTTATGATGACATTTCCAAAGGCCTCACCTTGTGCATCACTTTGTAACAAAACAGCGCACCTGTATCACTATCACGTTGAGCTCGTATAGAGTGCGCGGCAGCTCGAGAGTCACTCGAAGGTCAACAGTCACAGGTAGTCAACGGTCGCGACTTTTGACCGCCTAGTAACCGTACTCGGAAGTTACACAATGCAACATGGTAACTATCGAGTATAGCAAGAGTCAGGGTTATTGTAGCAATGTAATACAATTAATTAGGGAATGTACCCCTTGTTGGTGCAACCCTACGGTTTGCATTCGGCTTGTTGTCCGTGTGCGTGCATGCGTATGTGCATGGAATGGTATGAGGGCATGAAATAATATATATTTCATGCTTACAATAGTGTGTGAATGATGAGGCATGATTTTGAATGTGTGTGTCGAGTCAGTAGCGAGTTATCGCTAGTCGCGTGTCACGTCGTCGTTTGCATGTCGTGTGCGGTTTTCTATTTTGTCGTGTGTGGAACGTTCGGCGTGTCGCAGGTGTGCGCAGCAGACTTCCAAGAACTCAAGGAAGAATTTACCTTGAAGAACCAGAGCCTTGGTTTCAAGAATCAAGTGATTTCGAAGCTCTCCAAAAGGGTAAACTTTAAGATAGTGAGAATAGTTGCATTACTTTGTGTAGTGTAATATTTCTCTTGGTGTAGGCCCTTGTGGAGGGTAGTTTCTGTTGGTGCAACCCTACGGTTTGCACTCGGCTTGTTGTCCGTGTGCGTGCATGTGTGTGTGTATGGAATGGTATGAGGGCATGGGATAATATATATTTCATGCTTATAATTGTGTGTGAATGTTGAGTCATGATGTCGTGTGTGTGTGTCGACTCAATAGCGAGTTATCGCTAGACGCGTGTTACGCGGTCGTTTGTGTCTCGCGCGCGGTTTCTATTTTGTCGTGCGCGGTTTCTATTTTGTCCTGTGTCGAACGTTCGGCGTGTCGCAGGTGTGTGCAGCAGACCCATCAAGAACTCAAGGATGAGTTTGTGATGAAGAGCCCGAGCCTTGGTGTCAAGCCTCAAGTGATTTCGAAGCTCGCCAAAAGGGTACACCTCAAGATATTGAAGATAGTTACATTACTTTGTGTAGTGTATTATTTCACTTGGTGTAGGCCCTAGTGAAGGGTAGTTTCGAGACCCTTCGTGGTTGGGGACAGTGTGGCACTGTTCCACATCACTGTACCTCGGCTCTTGGGGTTTGTAGGAGCTGGGAGTCATTCCCAACTCGTAACTCTCCCTAACTCTTCCTATCTTGTGTTCTAAGACTATAGTGGCTGCCATAGTGCCGTTCGTTCAAACCGACGCTGTGTCGTCAATACTTGGTCAAATCGTGCGATCTAAATTGCCTAGTGAAGGCGACAATAAGACAATCCAGATCCAAGTTGAATCAAGTCATTTGAAGCTGTGACCAGAACGCTATGAACGTTTGAAGCCGCTGTGCAGAAATCCGACTGTGCACTCTATCTTTCGTTTTAGGCACATTGGAGCCTACTGTGACTATAACAAGTGGTATCAGAGCCCCTTGGAGCAGTTTCGACAATGGCTGGACCTGAGGAAAGGGGTGGCAGAGGTGCTGGAGGCAATGGAGAAGCCCAAGCACAAGGCCAAGCCCGTGATTCAGCCGTGGCGTCCGTGCAACCTACTCTTGGACC